CTCTCTCTCTCTCTCTCTCTCTCTCTCTCTCACGCTCCATCATTTCTCTCCCTCAGCCAAGACGCGCTATCGCAGCAGCCTGCCAGTGAAGTCCAAATAACAAGCTTTCAAGGTCTTCTCAAAGACGTTGACGAACGTGCCACTACTGGACCACCTAGTGACATCCCCGTTGCAGCGCTGTCCGCAGCGCCGCCAAGCAGTGACGTGACGGCGGCAGCGCCCTCTGGTGACAACTTTAGCTTGGGGTCGAGGCGGCGGACGAGAAAGCGGGTCAAGTTTGACGACGAGTGTGACAGGGACGTCATTAGCGACCCCGCCCACGACTCCGCCCTCGGACCTCCCCCTCCGCACGAAAAGTCTTCCACATCCGCCAACGTCGAGAGAGAAGATCAGTCCGTCAGCGCCGATGTGGTCTCCTCCACCGATGGCCAGGTGGCGCCATGCGTCGAGGCAAGTCGCCCCCACGAGGAGCGACAGGACGTTCCGGAATCGGAACTACCCAATGCGGTGCCGCTAGATGGCGCTAGCGTCGGCGAGACTACTTCAGCGACATCGGGAGCAACCCTTGACGCGTGGTTGGCAAAATCGTCTGCTGTCGCCGCAGAGGCAGCGATTAACACAAAGAGCGACGGCAGCGGTAACCGCGGCGACGAAGAATCCGTCGCTGATGATTCTGGCGACGTTGCCGCGACGACGAGTCGAGTCGAGCAAACGGTTGCCGTGCAAACCAGGGCGCGTTCGAAACCCGCAAAAACGCTGACCCGACCCACAGACGCAGCAGCTGCCGTTAACTCCAGCGAGGAGGGATGCAGCAGCGTTGCCACGGCGACACAGGACGACGTTGCCACGGCGACACAGGATGATGTTGCCAAGGCGACACAGGACGACGTTGCCACGGCGACACAGGATGATGTTGCCAAGGCGACACAGGACGACGTTGCCACGGCGACACAGGATGATGTTGCCAAGGCGGCGCAGGACGACGTTGCCACGGCGATGCAGGACAATGCTGCCACGGTGACGCAGAACGATGTTGCGATGGTGACACAGGGCGACGTTGCCATGGTGACGCCTGTGAAGCAAAGCAGCGTTGCCATGACGACACCCGAGAAGCTGGTCGTTCTGGATGACCCGAAGCTAGAGGGAACTCCCGTCTGCTCGCTGAAGAAGCTGACCGACCGCGATCTGCGAGCGGGCAGCAGCGTGGTCAGTCCGCCCGGCCGCGGCGGTCAGGGAAGCGTGGGACGCACGCGGCTGCTGCGTTTCGGCCGCGCAACGCGAGACTACGAGGGCGCGCTGGACGAGTTTGCAGATATCCGGCCGCTAGAGGGCGACGACGACGACGTGGTGCCGTCCTCGCAGGGATTCCCGTTTGTTGTGTCGTCGCCGCAGCGGCGCTCCAACGAGACGGTGGCGCCCTCGCGATCGAGCGCAAAGCAGAGTGGGTCTGCACGAGGGCGTCACGGTCAACGTCACGAAGCGAAACGACGACGGCTGCAGGAGACCGACGCCGTAACCGAGACGACGGTAGCCGCGACGACCGTAACCGAGGCGATTGTAGCCCCGGCTAGCGTAACCGCGGCGACCATTCCCGAGACGGCAGTAACCGAGGCGACCGTAACCAAGGAGATGGGGACGACGTTAATGAGGCGGCGGTCGGCACGCGTCAGCTCCCAGGATAGCGAACCGGATGCTGCTGTTGCCGCGACGACCGCAACCTCAGGAGGAATCTGCGACGAGGAAGCAGGCAACGAGTCGATGGCATCGTCCGTTGTCCCCGGCAACAAGCGCTCGTCGGCGAGGAAGAAAACCCCAACGAAGAAGTTTGTGGAGTGGGTGGCAACGGGATCACCACGTGATGTCGCCCACCAGGGGGAGTCGGTGGGCATGCGGACAATAGGGAGGGGGCGCGTGGGCAGGAGGAGGAGCGGGGAGGAGCATACGAGAAGGGTGAGCCGAGGGGAGCCGGGAAAGGGCAGAAGGAGGGGAGGAAGGATGGGCCGGAGAAGCAGAGGGGAAGGTAAGGGGAAAGCTCCAGGGAGGACTGTGAGTGAGATGGGAAGTGAACGGCCCGAAGAGGCTGGGATCACGAATTTGTCATCCGGAGAGATTGTGGCAGAGAATCTGTCATCCGGAGAGGCTGGGACACACACTCAGCCAGCGGCAGACACCGGAAAAGAGAGTCAGTCCTTGGGGGAGACTGGGACAGAGAATTCGTTTGTGGGAAACACAGAAACAAAAGATCGGTCATCGCAGGAGAATCGGGCGGGGATTGTGAGTGAGACAGAGGGCCCGCCATCGGAACAGAAGACAGGCAGCGACGTTCCGACTGACGGTCGGAAGGCGCAGAGAGTGGCAAAGATATCTGCGAATACCGCAGTGGAGGAAGCATGTCCAGATGTCAACGGGAAACTATCGCCATCTCCGAATGATGCGGGAGCTCTCCCAGACGGCTCCCTAACCCCGCTAGATGTGGCCGCGGGAGAGACGCGAGCAGTAGAAGATGGAATGAGTGCGGCGGAATTAAAATTGGCGGAGGCTGTGCCGGATTTTGCCGCAAACGTCGCTAAATCCATCCCAGATGATAAGCTTACCTTGACAAAAGCTGCTGTAAATGCTACTGCAGCTGCTGCTTCATATGCAGAGGAAACTACCCTCGAAAATACTCTGAATGTGATAGAAGCTGCCCTAAACGTAGGAGAACCTTCTCCAGAAGCTGATGATAATCAAGACGACGCTACCCCGGGTGAATGCCTAAATCTCCTAAAAAACGTCCTAAATGTCCTAAATGCCCTAAATGTGAATGCCACCTTAAATGTAGAAAAGGCTGTCGCAGAATCTACCCTAAATGTTGGCAAGGGTGAAATTGAAGCTACCCTGAACGTAGTCGAACCGGCCGCTGCAAGTACCATAGGTGTAGAGGCGGCCCTGGAACCTACTCTCAATGTAGAAAATAACCCAGGTGCCACCCTAATTGTAAAAGAAGTTAATTCAGTTGACGCCCTAATCGTAGGAGAAATGGAGCCAGATGCCGGTGTAGGCTCGAATGCGATACGGAAATCTGAACGGGAGCAGAATTCATCAAGGATCGAAGGCAAGCAGCAACCGAGCGTTAGACGGTCGACGAGGCTGTCACAGCTGGACTCGCAAGCAAGCGAGAGCCACGGCGGCGACAGACTAGCCACGAGCCGACTCGATGCGGAGTCTGTCGCACGACCGCCGCCCGTTGCTGTTGGCGACGAAGTCTCTCAAGAGGATACCAAGATGGCGGCTGGCATGACGACAGACGCAGCGTGCATCGGCATGGCAACCAGCTCAGACGATCAGAGTACGCCGCCTTTGTCACCCGAGAAGCAGACGCACGACGCACGACGAGAAAGCAGACGAGGCGTTGCCGGGGACGACGACAGCGACGACGTCCCGCTGGCGAGGCTGTGCAGACGATTGCCCGACGTCGCCGTGGCAACGAGCAAGACGAGGAAGAAGCGCGGGAGGACGGAGGAAGCAGACGATGCGGTTGCCGCGGGCGACGGAGGCAAGGAATCTTTTGCCGAACAGACGAACGCTGATGAAGGGACGGCACACGGAAGCAAGGTCGCGTCCAAATCACAGACGTACGCAGACCTGGCGCCATCTGGTGACGTGGCGACCGAGCAATCGCTGACGACTCAGGAATCGGAAGATTCCGGTGGATGGCAGAAGGAAAGGTGGAAGAGGGGGAGGGGAGGCAGATGGAAACCCTTCAGAAGGAAACGAGGAAGACGAGGAAAGAATAGTGCGGCGAAAGAAGAGAACGCTCTTCCGTCGGATCGGTCCGTGCCGCCGCCGCCGACGACGATGAAGACGTGTGACACTTCGACGGGTGACGATGACGACGTGACCCTGTCACAGGCTTGCGCGACAAGAAAAAGGTCAAGGTCGACAGCCGGCCAAGGAAACATCGCCGGTGACCCCAAGATGGATGCCGCTCGCGCAACGAGCGTCCCTAGCGAGGCGCCCCCTGGCGAGTCGGCTACCTTGCGCGGTGCGACTTCCTCGGACGACGCACCAGGGGGCGCCTCTGCGAGCGACGATCGCTCCGAGAAGGTGGCGCCCCCGAGCGGGCGAGCGTCAATGAGCAGTCTTCGCTGTCACGAGCGGGTGGACGAGGATGTCTACGTCCGCTGGGCAGTGGGCGACGACGTGGGGGGTGGTCGCGACAAGCCCCTCCCCCCGGCGGACCAGCAGACCCTCCCCCCAATATATATATATATATATGTATGTGGTGTTCGCTTGCAGGGAGTGTCTGTTGAAGGTCAGAGAACAACACAAGACATTCTTACTGCTGCCTGGAATCGCTAGCAGTGAGACATCCGTCATTGAGGACACACCCTCAATCAGCCAATCAGAGAGATCGCAGGTATAGAGCGTCAATCTCTTTATGCGTGTGAAATAGAATTATTATTTATTATTATTACATCTTTATTGCATGTAATTCAAATACAAATACATGTACTGAAGACTTTCATGGAGAAAAAAATCTGATAAATGCAATAGTGTTGAGCAGTTAAATTAATTCAATTCAGAACTGTCTCTACAGGTTGAGTGTCTGCTGCACGCACTGCCCGGCGTAGATTCTATTTGCTTATTATTAGATGCTGATGAAAGGTTAGAAATGAACAAGTATTTACTGACGTCGCGTCAGATTTAGTGACAGAACTCCCATCTTGTGATGTATCACAGCCTGTATCACAGCCTCATCACTGTCTGTTACTTTGCAAAAGAAATCCGGAAAAAGAAACAATGGAAAATATGTTCCTCTAGTTACTAATGATAACGTTGACTAGCTGTTTGTTTTCTACTCCTGCAGATGGAGCCAGAGGTTCATATGCCTGGCTCTCCGTCGCCACACAAGAAGCACGGCAGCTTCTTGCAGCGCCACCTAGGGGACAACACGCCGGAGAGGTTCGTCCGAGGATCGCCCGCGAGGACAAATGCATCGCCTGCCACCAGAGTGCGCCGCTCGCTACGCGTTGATGATGATCGGGACGAGGTGAGCGAAACTCCAACGTATACGTGCGATAGGTTCACAGACATTCATGTCTCTCTCCATCATTTGTCTAAGAATGAAATAAGGAGTGAAAACACCAGAAGATTTGTTAGTTAGCTTATTCTCTAGTAGATGCTATTGGGTTGCGGGGTAATATTTCAATTTAGGACTGATGTAGAATGCATTAGTTTATGTTAATCTAAGATCATGTAGTTGCGAGATAAACATAAATGAATATAAAACCTAATAATTACAATTACAAGTATGCAAACCTGTAATAATTTTTGTATTTATTAGCTCATCTGACGAAGTCAGATGCAGCTTGTAGAATCGCATGAGCGTCCGTCCGTCTGTGCGTCCGTGTGTCCGTGTGTTCGTGTGTCCGTCAACAGGTGGGCACAAATCTTAAACGCTCGACGTACGGTCACGATATTTGGGACGTCGGGGGAGTGATCGTGAAAAGGACTTGGGATGACCAATTTAGGGGGTTAAAGGTCAAAGGTCAAGATGTGTCAATGGAGGGAATATTTCCCCCTTAACTTAAGGTATAGGAGGAAATACGGAATTGCGGCACAAATCTGAACGGCTTGAAGTGGCATGGGCAGGAAACCCATCACCAGTGCGAAATTGGAGGTCACAGGTCAACGGGCAGTGGGGGAAAGGTCCGATATCAGACATTTTCTGAGGACATGGCCTAATGGACAGAGTGAAAAAATTTTTTGTTTCAGCGCTGACCTACCATTTTTATCACTTTATTGAAAGGACCATGAAATGTGCTTCTCACTTCCAGGAGTAATTAAGTGTCTGATAATTTTTTGACCCTCAAGAGGAGGGTTAAACATGGATTTGTTGACTGTTAACAAAGGACTGAACTGTGTTTGATGGTACTTGTGTGATCGTGGAAGACTTAAATTTCACAGTGAAATTCTGCATGCAAAACTTACTTGAACAACGTTTAGTGCCTTAAATCATATATGAACTTCATTCTCTATATGAGATTCTGTACGTTGGGAATACAATGTCAATAGCACTTACGCAAACGTTTGTTTTTGATTAAGGCCAACTATAAATAGGCCTACCTGGCAGTTGGGTACTCGCAGCTAGGGCCTGGCTGAAGTTATCACAGCATGGGCTAAACGAAGGATATGCAAAACTAGTTCAGATTATTATTCCCTACACCTAGTCAGTATGCACGCCATCTATCGAACAGAGTGAGAAATGTCCCGCGCAGGATCGTCAAATGTATATTGCGGCTCAAAAGTGCAGAAAGAATTACTTTCTTAACTTCAGTTTAACCAAATCTTGAGATAAGTAATGCAGAAATGAATCGTCAAACCTTCCAATGAAAATTTCCAGTTTTGTACTGTCCGTGGCATGGGCTCTCCTCGTCGACGTTACAGTAGTGTACAATGTCGGGATATGGTGGAGGCATGCTGGCTTGTAGACGGTGCATAGCCCCGATGGTTGACTGTCAGTCGAAATGTGTTGATCCTCCCGACATTGAAGAAATCTGTACGTTATACGTGCGTCTGCCTTACCTCTGCCCGCCATCTATCCGTCGAAAGTTTGGACAATTTA